TAACGCCAACTCATTGGAGGGAAATCGCCGATCCCGTTCGCGTTTAACAGCACTGGCTCTTTAGATAACTGATAGATACGCCGATAAACTCGGTTAACGAGCGACTCGTCGCCGAGAGGTAACCCGCTCTGCCACGCGCGTCAGAAAAGTCGACGGACAATCGTCTTGTCGGGAAAGCCGAGCTCGTAACTCTTCCATTAATTGGCTCATTAATGCGTCCAGCTTCCTCGGATCCTCGGGATCGACCCCGATCGCGCGCGATCTCGACTTAACGCGTTTGACCATCGATCGGGTTAGCCTATCAATTTATCCAAGTAATGGCCTATTAAATCTCGACACCGTCATTTCAAAATCGTGCCGCGTTCTTTACATGAATATTACAAAGAATATTGCAGTCGCAGCTCTTAATACAGAAAATTATATGATTATTGCATATAATTATTAATAAAAATACTTATGCATTAGTATTAATGTCGATTCACTATTGCTTCTAAAATTACACTATCTCAAATTATACAAATTGTATTATCTCAAATATTCCACTTATCACGTAAAAGCAACATTTTATTTTGTCTAAAATGTATGTGAAAATAAAATAATAATAAAATAATATTGTTATTTAAGGAACAAATTTTAGTACTCTTTAAATTATGGATAGTCTTGATGGTTACTATCTACTTTCACGATTAAACTGACTTGCTTAAACAGGCTTTAAGGTCTGCAAGGGACAAGCATCAGGGATGCGCCCGATATAGTGCCCGCCATAAATTCTAATTCCGAATGAGAGAAAGAGGAGCGAGCGAAAAAAAAGCAGATGGCGACAATTGCGGTTAATTAATCGCGCACGCTGCGCATCGCCTGGAATTCCGCGACATAATCCGGAATCCGATAAGAAGAAGGCCTCTCTTCTTCTTCTTCTTCTTTATATAAACATGGTTATATGGGATTATCATTGAAACGGCGTGAAACGGCATCGACTCGGTGTCCTTGTAAGAAAATCACGAGATAATCTTCGAGTTGCGCGCTATGAATGTACATTATTTAAAAGTAGCACGTAGGATATATTACTCTTAAGAATAAAAATCTCAAGATACGGCATTATAAAAGATAAATGCGTGAATAACTTCAACTCAAGAAGAAGACATGCATGTCACAAATAGGTATAAGACCGAGTGATTGATTATTTTCATTGAATGTTCGTGACATAATTGATTAATAATTTTAGATCGATATTACGCATGGCGGTACAGCGCTCGGAGATAGTGCCAGACGATTTCTATATATGGTTCACCATCGGGGCGCCCGGTATTTGTCATTTCCGACAGGAAAGGCCGCGCGCCGTCGCTTCTGGCTCCTTTCGCTTTCGGGATATATCGCGCGATCGTGATTAATATGGATTGCCTGTCGACCTTTAACCGTATGACAAGTGCCATTCTCGAATTTGCTTTGAAAAACGCTCCTTGCGCAGCTACTTCATGTCGAAGGCCTCTCTCTTTCTGTACATCATAAAATTCACCGGACCGTCAGGTTTATTTTCGGACGGTGTTGCGCGAAAGACATCCTTTTAATTAATTGTAAAATAAATCATTATTATGTGAAATAAACTATTCATTATTGCCAAGAATTGCTGGAATATAAATTTTTTGACAGTAAATGTATCCATTCTTTATGACAATTAATTTTTATTCAACAATTTTTCGGGAATCTATAGACGTCATATTAAAATTTTATCTCTATAATCATCATAAAAATATCATATTACTTTATAATTCTCCAAAGTCATTACTGTTTGTATAAAATTAGAAATAGTCGTTACGATGGCATAGACGAAAGCGTCAGTATAAATTATTAATTTTCAAGCAGAAAAGAATTAAGACAAAAGTCTTTAAAAAATTAATTTTTATTTTCTTAAATTAACGTAAATTACGTCACAAAAGCAGTGTGTTATATAAATAATGCGTTATCATGCATTATAAAAAAAAATTGTTATTAAAACATTATAGGTAGGAAACAAAAGGTTCGGGCAATTGAAATAGGTTTAAATGTCCCTCGAGTCTATCGCTGCGTGTCGTGTACTCTAAGCTACAGCACGTATTGCATGCAGGCGCCTGCACGCCTCCCCCGCCGTAAACAAAGTACAATAAAAATCGCAGTCTGTAAAAGTTCACCGCGAACGATAGAAAAGGGAGGGAAAAGTAGAAGAGAGCCCCCAGAAGTGCCAGTATCGAGAGCACTAGGATTCCTTATCGTCCCTCCGTCGCGCACCTTATTATACTCCCCGTCTCGCCACTCGTCACGGCTCGTAAAGTCGATATATGCAAAAGCACTGCTCCTTCCCCTGCATCGCGTGTTTCTGTTCGACTGCTGCAACCCAATCCTACCCCCCTGCCACAGGTAAGAAATTCCAGTACCTCACCGCCGAGATCCGCCGTAATCCTTAGGCCCGATTCAGGCTTGAAATGCCTCGCGCCTCGTTCTACAGTTCGAACGTGCCTGATGCTAAATGTCGGGACTTACCGTTCGCTTTTCCATCATCACTTGATTGCGATGTTTCAATCAGATTTAAATTGCGTACCACATTTCGACATAATCGGCATCTTTTTAATTTCTTCTCCCTTTTTCTTGTTGTTCTTTATGACCTTTCGTTTCTTTCGAAATCCGATAACCGTGGATGTACGAATTAATGTTAATACGTCCGATCTAACGTTGATGTAAAAATTGCACTATTGCCTCATTGTAGCCTGTATCGGGCTTTAAGGCGCATATACTCGATGCACCGGTGACTTTCTCCGAGTTGGCACATAGGGAGCGCATTGCACGCACCGCGAACGAGCTGCCGCGCCGCGGTTTTATCGTCCTCTGCCTACTCTAAATATTTCTCCGGCATAAATTTATAACGACGACGGTGGCGCGCCGCCGCTAATAACGAGCACGGTCCGGCCGATATCCCGGCATTTATACGAGCGTACGCGCTCCGCGCCGATCGGATACCCGTCGCGGATCCGGTGGGCATTATGGGCGTGCGCGACGGGGCCCGTGGCGATGAATGGAGCTCGTTTCGGTCGACTCGAGTGGCCGCGGTGGATCGTCGTCGGCAGATCAGTGAAAGTCGACTCGAGCCTCGATCCGGCACGCGGGCCGATCCACGCTGGATCGCGATTGATCGGGCACGGTATCGTTCCAGGAACCATTAACGGATCGAGCCGTGATCTGGGATCGCGGGATATAAAATGACGGTAATAAAAGTGTAAGAATTCACGGCATTGGAAAGTCATCTATCGAGCAACAAATTTTAATTAGCGTATTAATAATGACGCATTGTGCTTACGGCTCTTTTCCCTTTCTCGTGTTCCCAGCCATGAATCAAGCCGATAATATTCGCAGCCAGCGCTGTTCTATCGCTGCGGCACTTATCTCGGCTCGCGATTGCATACAAACGCGCAAATCTTAAACTCGTAATTTCCACGCGCTCGTGATCCGGCATAAGAGCGTCGCGATTGCCGGCCGCATTAATCGGGTAATTAAACCATTATTCATTGTGTCTTATATTTTTTCTTAAACGCTCCAATTTGCCGTGCCCTTAATGACTCGTTAAAATTGCTTTAATAATGCCCGAGCTAATAAGCTGACCGTGTACACCGTCGACAGCCGATCGGTCACGCTACGAATGACTACTCTATCCGTCGCTGCATGTCGAGTGGCATGGTCGTGTGGGAGATACAGGTTGTACGTATGTACTTTTTTTTTTATTTCAACACCGCGCGTCAATAAGAGCCAGTGATTTTAGCATACAGGTTTTACTCGTTGTCGCTTATTGACGAAAAAGTAACATGTACGCGCGTGCTGTCACATGCATAATTTCAACTTCGTTTAAGTAGACATCTATATTCGCCATTACGTATGTCGCGGAAAAACTCATTTTTATTATAAATATAAAAAAAGAGAAAGAGAATATATAATACATACTATTCGCGCATTGATTTTTAAAAATATAAATGAGTAATTTTTTTTAAATAATTAAATAAATAAAGAAATGATCATTTTTTATGGAGTCACGATTCTCTTGTATTAAATTAAATTAGATTACTAATTAAATTTATCTATAATTATATAATAAACGAAGATAGATTTCAGGTTTAAAAAAAAATCATAGAATTATCATAACAAAAATTATGTTATTGATGATTTATAACGTGCGCGAATTTTCATTGTCAGTATAATTATGATATTTATAACATTTTAATAAGGATGTAGACAAACGGCCGGAGAAATAAAAGAGTTCTTTAATGACACGCTGTACTCTTCCCACTCGCATTAAGTTCAATCATAATTCACGCCACGCAGGACGAAGAGCTTCCGCTGGACGTCACCCGCATCCTTCTTCCTCCTTGTCGCGATGCACACGTGCAGCTTTTATGCATCTTTAGCGCGTGCCGCGTGTTGTGCAGTGTGTTTGTGAATGACGCCAGCGTTTCGACAGGAAACTTCATATCCGAATTTTAAAGAAGAACTAATTTAGCATGACCAAAGTTTTTCCCGCACTTTTAACTCGCATTCGCACTTAATGCTCATATATAACGTCAATATTGCTAATATCTATTATTCAGAATTATTTCAGCTTGTATCGCTTCGAATAACAAGTTGCCACATTGCAGAATGGATCGCTAAAAAACGCGTACTTCTAAAGGAATCACGTCGCTAATGTACGTATAGCCGCACTTTCGCGGTACTCCATCTATAGGCGGATGTTTACGAACCGGCGAGAAAATAAACGCGGAACGAGCGAGAGAACCGTGACAACCGTGTTCGAGAATTGAGGTCAATAGGCATATCTCGATCGCAAGGGGGAATTTTTCGACGACGATAAGTCGCGCGCGCGATAAGGATCGCCTCGTTACGAGCGCTGTACGGCGCGCGGCGCGCGCTAAACCGCACGGGACAATCGTGCTTCCGCGATATAGCTGTAAGTTGACAGGCAAATCATTGTGACACACACTCACCTTGCATAGAGCGACGCCCGTGTCCAGTCTGTCCATGAAATTGTCGAGATTGATCCTGAGCTCCGGATACAGGGCGTTCAACCATTCCGCCAGGTCCTCCTTCATCGCTATCAGGTATTCCTCCGAGGATTTGAACGGCCTGTACGACCTCCCTTCCAGTAGCACCGACATGATTTTAACGATTCGAAAACTGAAAATAGACATTAAATTATATTGTATTAGAATGTATATATATTAAGTTTATCTTTAGACAATTATTTATTTTTTTCTCTTGTTCTAGCTCTTTTATTTTTATTTTAATATTACAAACTAAACAGATAATATCTTGAGCACTTTTAAATTACTGTTAATTGTTAACTTATATCACATTTGCTTTAAAATTTGAATATCACTTAATAAAGTAAATCGCATTACATTTATATCGTTTTATATCGACAAAAAGTTTCAAACTGTTTGACTTTATACTCTAGATTTGGGAGCTCTGTGGCACATGCACTTTTCCACATCCGCTTATTTAGGATGTTCGGCGAGAACTGAAACGACTTTGTTAGGTGCTATTACGACAAAGGACTTCCGCACCTTTTTGAGACCCACGTGAATCCTAAGGGATCAAATGGGATCTTTTACAGGTTGCTCATAGGTCGATAATGGGACACCTTTTAACACATAATTTTCAGATTTTTTTAATTCTTAAAATCCTTGAAGTTTTATAAACTTTTTTAACTGTTTGACTTTTCAATCAATCATAATAATTATTTCCCTAACTTGCATTTATCATTATCTTTTCTTATTAATTTCTTATCTTTAATCAATTTTTTGTCAATTATTTTTCTATCAGTGTTACTTTTCTTCCCTCCTTCTTTATTCGAAACTTGGCTGTGTACATATTCTAAGTGCAAAAATATAACACAGTATATAATAAAAAAAAAATCAAGTTTATATAAATTAATTGCATTTAATATTCAACTGCATTTATATGTTGCATCAAATTTGCGATATGCGTTGAGTTAAAATTTTATGATTTCAACTCTTGAAATATCCCGTATCATGATCAACGATTATTAATCGTTCCGACGAAAGCTACGTTTGCCACGCACGGGAATTGCAATGTGCCGCTAACGGGGCCCCGATTCGTTTTCTCACGCGATATTTCCACGTCTAGATACCGTTGCGTATGCAAATCCGCGGGCATTATTTCGCAGATGCGAGAGGCAGATTATAAACATCCAATGTATAAAAATCGCAGGGCTCCGCCAGACAATGGCCACTCCGGGTGTCGCTGTTGACAATGGCGCGGTCATCCCCGCGATATTTTCCCCCCATGCTCGTCATACAACCACCCCATATACATATATGCGTACTGCACATTCTGCATACTCCCCATACATGAAAATCGCCATTGTGAGATTCAAATTAACCGAAAACTTTGGTAAAACTTAGGTAAAGGTAAATTCTATTTACGAACTTTGTTGTTAAAGTACGTGCATAACTTGAATTATTTGTATGCGTATTACGTAAGTTTCTTCTTTTCAGCAAAATAGCACAATATTCTCTTTGTTCCAAAATGGAAAGTTTATAGTTGTCTGGAACTAGCGCTAGTCTCATTTGGCCAATTGGTCCAATATTATAAACAAATATACATAGATTTAAAAAAAAGTTATTGACTGCCAAAAAATTGAATAATATTCTTTCGATATTTTTTCCTTCCGCTGTTTAACTACAATACATGTTTATTTCTGAATAAACAAACACGCTTTACATACGTTCACGTACGTCACATTGAGTCATTTAGTATTTAGTTCCTGCTACATATCTCCATCAACAGCATTGTGCGCAACTCGTAGAGTAATGTACAGGTAATATCGGGATCGGGAGCTCTCGTCGAGACTCGGCAATGTCGCAAGTGAACTCATTGTAAGACATGGTTGCGCCGATACAGCGACTGAATAGCGTCGCGTCGCCGGATGACGTTTCGGCGCGCTCGAGTTTCGCTGAATGGAAATCTCGGTGACGAACGGGACTTTGGTATTTGATAAATAAGCCTACGCCGCGCGTCGCGGCGGATTAATGAGTAGACATTGCGCCAGCCGAACGGGCACGAATGAATTAATGCGCCTGGCTGCGAATTCAAAAGGAAGTGCCGTGACAGGCGCGGGATCGGCGACCGTCAATAAATTTCAGAATGTTTGCGTGCCGATCTGCGTGAATGAGCGGAAGGTCGGTTTCCGCATACGCTAAAAATGTGTCATCGGAGACTGTGTCATTTCCTTGAACTATTAATTAATGTTAGTTTACACATATTATATCTTGTTTGAGACGGCTTATTATAGGGCAACAGATATATTTTATCCTTCCAACAATTCTGAGGTCATTGACTAGTGTGCGAAATTAATTATCCCCTTTGGCTTCCTAAACATTCTAATTTTCCAACCACCGGCATGCGCTGACCAGAGAAGATAATCGTGGGAAATCATCCGTCACAGGCGCGCCGCCGCCGACATAATATCCGACTGCGACAAAACACTCCATTCATGGGACCCCACAAAACCTCGTTTCCATGCGGTCTGGCCTCCCCCCTTAACTCGACGTCAAGGATTGACCGAAACGAGCTTGAGAATCATTTACGGAGATCAGAAGAGGAAAATCACTTTCAGTAATATACGATGGCACGATAAAATTTATTTAGGAGAGGGTTAATTGGATTAGTTCGGAGTTCAAAAGTTCAAAGTTGAGGAATAAAATATGTCGTCGTCTGATCGAACTCTAAAAGGAAATATCAATTCCGATTTTTCGAAGGAACACAAATGAAGATAGACGCGGCGAGTTTGGAGCCGGCACTTCTCATCTTTGTGCGTTCAAGCCTATAATTTATTAACGTCTACGGCGTTATGTAAAGGACGACGGAGGGAGGAAAAGGAGAGAAGGAAATGAAGAAAGATCGGAGGACATGAGAAAGGAATTAGCGCGTAAAGGGGACGCGCGGGAGCGGATCGTGGAGGCGAGAGGGATTGAGATGAGGGATTCCTTCGCCGGCAGCCGCACGATCGCGGGATTACGGTTTACGAAAGGTGACTGCGAAATGTCATCGTATCGCGTTTCCCCGCGATACGACGCACGCGCTCCTCGTTCGCGCGCGTCTCGCCTCGGGCGGCAACACGCCCCACGTCGTCGGCGCCACGCGCATACTGCATCGGGTGCATTATTATGCACACACAAGGATTGAAAATGCCAAAGTTTAAGTCGATTGCGATCCGCGGACCGCGGAAACGGCTCGTCTGGAACGAACAACTTGAGCAACGCCTTATCGACCCTCCTTCGGCGAATGCGCGTGATAATTTATGATACGCTTATCTCGTATCCATGGAATTCTGTATCCAGATATACGCTACGGACTTGATAAAATGTATCACGCATTAAATGAATGGCGTGATACGGCCGTAATACAGATTTAATGATTTTAATTTATATAGTGACGCGAGTGATCAAATTTGTTACATGACACGACGCGTTATTGAAATGTTTCGCCTTAATAAAATATTGTAAAATTATGTTGTCACAAAGCGAAGAATAAATTAAAACGCACTCAGCGGTATATATGGTGGATGAAAAACGAGCGAGCGCCTGTAGGCGACTGATGGCTAATTTACGAGCTAATTCGTGGCTTTTTATCACCACTCGCGAAAGGGCGAAAGCGGCAGTTGCTGAATCACAGCGGGGTTGCGAGCGTGTAAAACGTGTCGTTGCGCTTCACGGAGTTCGCCGTGGCTTTCATAAATGTCGGCGCAGCGCCAAGGAATCTATTAGGGATGCACGCGGATGCACCGTGGAATTTAATCCTTAAACGTGCGCGATTCACGCGCGCTATCTTCGCAGCCAGGCGAAAGGCGCGTTCGGGAATTGATAGCGTCCTCCTTTATTTCGCAAAGTGGTTAACGGGATTTTATGTGTTCCTACACACGGATCCACGAATGAATAATCGATGACTTTGCAAGTACTAAATAACGAAGCGCATATCCAATTTGACGCCGGGGTAACACAGATGTCGATTATCGTTATGTTAATGTTGTCAACGTGATGGTATTTCATTTACTGGCATGGCCAGCTTCGCGATTGCCATCTACATAATTGCCGTGTTTTTTCAGATGCGAAATTCCGTTATGACAGACACTAATAAAATCGGTATAAATGGGCTGAAATTACAGCCCGTTGCTTGAAACTTGAAGCCCGAAACTTGAAACCAAGTCACTGCAATTTATAGGATGTAGAATTTGTAGAGCGTGGAAATAACATTTTTGGGTTGTATCGGAAAAAAAATTAAATAGACTAGGAATGTGTACGGAATAAAAATACTCAGATTGATGCTATAAGGAGAACTTGATTTCCCTCAAGATTCTGCGAGACTATATAATCGCGCTCCCGACTTATCTGCGTATGCAGCTCTTCGTGACATCGCGTAGACGCGACGTGATGCACCGTTATGTCAGGTGTAATGCGCCTTTAAAGTACGCTCACGTAGGTAAACTTACGAACGCGCTTTCATAGGGAACAACCGTGCGCGCGATATCCGTAGGGCAGCAACTTGTTAATATTCCGTCCCTTATACGTGCCGCTCAATGGAATAATAAGAAGCCGACGAGGCTCGTGGAACCCTTTCTCGACGAACGTCTCAGCGCGAACAATGAAGTCGCGTTTGATGGAAAATGAAATGGCGCAAAGCTAGAAAAACGTACGAGCAACGTCGCACTCTTCGGTCTCTCTCGCGGGCGTTAAACTTTTCAGGACGTCCTCCTCCGCCGATCGTGTCGCTGCATAGCAACGGACACGATGAGACGGGTGAATAGAATTAAAGGCCGAACCGGATTAAATAAAAAAAATATATGTATCTAAACGTCTTTACGAGTCGCCCGGCGACTCAATTCCGACCGCCTCGACTTGCTTCGTCATTTTTATCTGTCGCCCATGCGACGTTTACGAACGCGCGCACGTATACAATTCCGATCCCCGCACGACTTATTTTACTGACTCTTCTAATCGCCAGGAAGCAGTTACTCTTACGCTCTATTACTATAATTTCTCTGGGGCGCGCGCGAGTTAAGTTCATATAATCCGATTCATCCTCCCCTCATTCATCGTCGATTACGATAAATATTATGCAGGATGAGTTATGTAAACAGTAACCATGTAATATAA